TGCAAGCAAACATATAAGCCGCGTTAAAAGAAAAAAAAAATAGATGTCGCCGTTTTATATTTTTGCATTCGTAAACCTACCTTCCTCCACAGCGTTGCTCTATTTGTGCTGTCATGTGATCCATTAGAGTAGATATGGAAGATAGCCATTGTTAATCGTGCTTAGTAGCAACCAGTTTTTTTTTCCTTATTGATAGCAACTCGCCGGAACAGCTGGGCGATCCAGAATACATCTACGCGCGACACACCTTCAAAACTTTTCCACGGCGTCGATTCTTGATAAGTGTCCAAGCGGGCGAAGGCACGGAAACGCAGCACTTCGACGTGCCAAGGAAGCTTCGATCACGCCGCGAGACCGGCGAGACTTGCGTGCGACGAGTTGTGCCTTTTTTCCTGCAGTGCTCCGCTTTCGTAAAAATGTTCACGTGTTTTCAAAGGCAATTCTCACCGTTTACACAATTAAGGATTAAAAAAAAAAAAAAGAAGTCTTCGGCGAATGACGACGAACAAGCAAAAAACGTGCAATACGCTGCCGCCCAGCCTCCGCAACGCTCCAAAAGGTCGATTTTCCGCGTTCCAAGATGGCCGTCCGGTGGGTGCATTCGGCCATTCGCGGAGCGGGGAAATGCGATCCAGCAATCGTCATAGAGATCAGTGGTTTCCAGAGGACCTTAACTCCCAGGCTGCGCGCCGCGTGGCGCTCATATTCATCCTTATTTGTTCCGCCATTTGGTGCCTTGCATAGTACACCCAGCGCTAGTACCGCACGACAACTGCACACAGACAACCGTTTCGACAAACTTGTGTCGTTTTGAATGCGCTGTTTACTGTTGTTAAATTTAAAAAAGAAAATGTGACAGAAAAAATATTTAGGAACCTTACGCTGAAATGTTCGTTTTACCTGGATATTCTTACACAGTAAGGTGACACGAACTCAACTCTGTTACGTCACGGCGCGGTGGTGGCGCGTCGGGCGCACTTCCGGTCTGGGGCTGTGGGCGGATGTCCCCATTTGAGACGTGTATTCGTGCGTTGTTTTGAAAGGAACCAGACAAAAACCTGCATTCTCGTCAAAATGCCATGATAGGGGCTGTACCAAAAAAGTCGAGAAAGATTTGAAGGTCAGTTTTTATGTGCTCGGTTCGTCCGAGAACGGGATATGTGCCGTGAAAAAGGAGAACCAGACGCCGTCGTACCACGATTGCTTGGGCGGGAAGCACTTTTGGGTTGAATTCACGGACACTTGGGGTCATCAGATTTATTTGTTTTGTTCCAACATGAACGCCGGAAAACCGTCAAGTAGCACGGACCACCTGCGGGCTACGTTTAGTGCGTCTTCAAGTTCAAACGGCCGCCTGATCGTTCAAACTGTCGTCTGCTCTTTCAAACGTTTCTGCTTGTCGTCTGCTCTTTTAGGCGGTACCGGCCCGTAGACCAAATGTTGGCCCGGTACTTGCGATAAGAAGTAAGTGCGGGCCTAAAAAGACTTCAGTTTTAAGGTTGGTAAGCAGGCTCGATGTAAACAGTAGATGCAAGGAGATGTTGATCATTGTTACCAGTGGCCATCACCGACTTCTTATGCCTGATTCACTTGGTCCATCCGATTCTGCTTGCGATTTTCAGAATCGACGTCGACTACCTCAGCTGCGGTTCACGCTTTTGCAGCCCGAGTGACGTCGCGACTGAAACTTGCGAGCAAAATCTCATCATGCGAATCAAGCTTTAGCGCCCATTCTGCGGCGTCCACGCGAAATGAATCGCCGCATGTCACATTATTCACAGTTTCGCGGTGTAAAGAGCCTCGGTAACTTCGCTGAGGCCGCTGAAGTGGTCAGACATTGCCCAGGAAGACGCAGAATCAACAATTCGAACGCGAAAAAGGGCAGGGGGACTCACACACCAACGCTGACAACATCGCATTTCAAAGGTTTGTTTATGGGCGACGGCGAGCTTCTTGCCCACACTCCATCGCGCATGCGCGGCGCCGGTGGCGTCCGCTAGGGGCGCTCCGGTTTGTTTGTAAACATGAATTGGTGAGGCATGCAAGAAACACGGGCACGTTTATTAGCTGCGCCAACTTCCCACAGCGTCAGTTGCTGTTCTGTTCCGAACAAGAGAACAATTGCTACTGGAATATTTCCACCACACCAGTGGATGGGCTTTAATAATTCTAAAACCAGCGAGTTACCACTTAAAGAAGGCAAGCAAATAAATCGACGACACGCGGCCGAAGGGAGAAAAAGAAATAGCACTTTGTGCGGTCCTTAGGGAACAAAAGGGGGCGAAGCGCGACTCTCGCAGCAGTTACCCGACGACCTGAAGCTATGGTGGGTCTGAAGGGAACGCGGGACGATCGCACGGGCGTCCCGCGATTCATGCCCATAAAGCCAACGTTACTGGAGCAAGCTCAGTTTCGCAGCTCCCTATTCTCGCCTGCAGAGGCGAGTGGCCCAGGTGGCGGTCACGAGAACTAGCGGCGCTGCAGTCGGATCTTGCTTCCCTGTCTCGCGCGTCTACCACCGCGTTGAGAGCTCCCTTTTCTTTTTCTTTTCTTTCTTTCTTTTTTTTTTTTCACGTGTATAATAGCAAAAAAAGATGATGAAGATGAAGCCACAGAGTCAGCGCACTGTGAGTGTTTTTTTCTTTGAGAATGTTTAAAATTTATTTTTTTGTGCGTCTGTTTCCTTGCGCTGTGAAGCGTTAGTATGAATTGCCAACTCGCCCAAGCTCAAGTATTGCTATTAAAGCTTGGCGGGCTAGAGAACCCGGAAGTAAGACTCGACTGCAGCGCTGCTAGTTCTCGTGACCGCCACTGAGCCCACGTCGCAGGCGAAGCTGTGAAACTGAGCTTGCTCCAGTAACGTTGCATAAAGCGCAGCGTAATCGGTATTCCGGAAGCAGCGCCACCCAGAGCTAGAAAATGCGACAAATGCTAACAAAAATGGGCACATTGAGCATTTTATCTCACACTAAACACGGCCCCCTTATATTTTCAATATTTTCTTTTTACCCGCTCCGCTTTACTTGAAATCAAATTTCTAAACAATTCACTAGTATTTGCCGATGTGGCGCTGCCGCCGGCTTACAGATAGAGCCCCTCTATCCTGGGAAAAGTGGCGTCATTCATTGTTGTGGAATTGCTTGAGGTACGTGCCGCGTGCCACCCCTGGGAAGAACATGGCGTCTGAAATTTAGCTCAGTGCTGCGCTGTGCCTCCATGATCTTCTCAAGGGCTGCAGGTTGCACGTGCCTCGTGCATCAACGCACCTTGCGCTACTTTTGAAACATGAAGGGGCTTTACTTACAGATCTGGTACCATGGCGATAGAGATACACGAGGCACGAGACGTAGAGACCCACTCACGGCTACACGGGGGGAAGCTATCGTCACCCCGTCCCTTCTAGTCCCCCGCACACCGAAGCCACGGAAGCATGCAACCCCGCGACCACGTATATACCCGCGCCCGGTCACTGACGTCCTGGTGTCCCGCCCTGGTGGCACAAAGGTCCGCGGAACATCCATAGAACTTTAGAACGCGTCCCTAGAACGTCCACGGAACTTTTTTTTATTTGTGCTGCCAGGGCGAGGTCAAGTTTAAGGCCATTTCTAAGTTTATACCTAGTTTCACTTTAACACCAACTGCAGCGGGAGCAACTCAGGGAGCACTTAAAGTGCATCATCACGGCGCCCGCTGTCTTTGTGGGTTTCTTACATCCTGATAAACCAGAACACAGGGAAAAAAAGAAAAACAAACAACAACAACAAAGCAGGATTGCGGAGCATTTACTGTACCTGATCGAATTCGTCGATGATGGCAAATGCACAAAGATGATGGGTGCCATGACGATGAACTTTTGGCTCTCCCTGATTGGTTCCGTAGGATCGTAGCAAAATTTCTGACATCAACGTACAAAAAAAGAAAAGGTAAACTTTGGTGCAGCCGTTTGCGTATCGAGACGAGTACGATACATACCCAGAAAAGCAAACGACGAGAACGCCATTGGTTTCAGCGTCATGTAAAGGAGGGTGCGGATTGGACACGAGCGCCGCGTCACCTTTCGGCTGGGACTCGGGTTTCCACCGATTGGACACGGGTCCCGCCCGAACGCTAAAGCATAACTCGTGTCCAATCTGTGCACCGTGTAGCCCCCTTTAAGGGACGTCAGCCCTACGGCCTTGCAATTGGGAGGTTTTACCAACGTTCGTCCTGCCAAAATGGAAAGAATGGAAGACTTTATAGAAGGAGCTAGCGCTGCCATATCACTTCGTATCTATTTTACCCAGAACAGACGCATTTTCTTTTTTTTTTTTTTGTCTGACTTCGGGAAGAAGCCGCTCCACATTGGACTCCAAATTGAGTGCTTGAAGATCCCCCACCAACAGGCCATCAACCGAGTCGACAAGCAACGCGGGGCCAATAAAGCCATCGGTCTCGAACCACGTGACCCCCCACGCGGCACAAGGCCGGTGTTCAATTTGTCCTCTCAAGCACGTATACATGGCTTGCACGTGACGTCATCCCACCATGCTGTTGGTCATACTGGGTCGTACCTACTTGTTCTTGCCGAGGGAAACGGATTCGCTGGTGGAAAACGTGGGACTGTGCACGGTACGCGCTCGACATCAAGACCACCGCAATCTCCTGTGGCGTCGATGCAAGCCAACTTTATTACATCAACGAAGTTGTGGAACTCCTGCGGAGGGCCCTCCTCTCCACCTCAAGTCCGCCACCCGTCGTTTGAAGCGCCATCAAGAGGCTGCATTTCAAAACTGTTCTTCGGAGACGCTACGGTGAAGCGCGCATCGAAACCCCTTTACCTGTCGTTTCCATAGTAGCCTTCCCCTCAAGAAACCATGGCGCGTCGAATGACGGGGGTGGACCTTGGGGGAAAAGAGGGGTACTGCTCTTGGAAGCGGCGTCCATGGGCAGTTCCGCAACTGAGTTGATCTAATAAAGCTGGTGCAAGCCATGTATACGGACGCACGAGCGCATCAGCAGCATCAGCCCTCGGCGGACACGAGCTTGGCCATGGGTGACAGCAGCGAGGTGATTCGGGTGGTGGACATGTCCACGACGTTGGCAGAGGACTTGCACGACTCGAAGTCGGTGCGGTGGTTGATGCAGGCGATCTCGATGAAGTCTCCGGCGGACCGGGTGAGCAGCTTCTTGAGGTACTCCTCGGCCTCTTCGCCGCACTCCTTCTTCATGGCGTCGCCCGAGCACGTCAGGTATTCGGCGAAGTTGCTGCGGAAGCAAGTGTAGCTCACTGTATACACACAGATATTCAAGGCTGGGAGCTGGGTTATCGTGACCGCGTTGGATTGTTGATATCGGTATTTATTTTCGCTCGGGACAGTCTCGGCCCCGCAGAAAGGCAACCATCTTGATGAATTTCCTGAGACTGAAGAAACCTCGAAACAGCAATCGTGACAGAGAAAGCAAAGTGTGTCAGGACGAAGTCTTGAACTCAGATAAAATTTATTCGAGCAAACTTCTCTTACATACATCCTACCCCCCAAGGTCTCCACCCATTGCATGCAAAAGATCACTCCATTCACTCAGCTCAAACCCTGCTGCAGGGTATGAGTTGAGTAAATTAATAGACATTTTCAGTGCAAAAAAAGACGACCTTGGGGGTAGGATGTACAGGGTGTTCCCGAGAAAAGAGAACCGTGTTTTTCGGTCCTGTTAAATAAACTATGCACCGCAGAAAGCTCGAACTCCGCGAGAATATGATACTCGTGGTTGGGATACAACGCGAAAGTTTGAAAACCATGACGTTACTTAAATAAAATCTTAACCGAGGAAAAAATATTTTATGAACCGATGTCCACCTGAGCCTAATATCGTCAAAACAAGAACTGACACTGTGGGCGTCTGCAGCATCTATGTCCGTGATAAAAACTTGCCAGCAAGAAGGAAAACAATAACATGTTTCTTGCTGGTAAGTCTTTTTCACTAATATTAATCCCACAAGGGCCAACAAGGTCAGTTTTCATTTTGACGATATTAGGCTTAGGTGGACGTCGGCTCACAGAAAAGTTTCGTTTTCCTCAATTATCTTTTGATCCGGGTAACGTCACATTCTGGTAAAACATATAAAATAGCGCAACAGAAACAAGGACAAGAAGTAAACAGGACAGGCGCTAACCGCGAGTGTCACGCTCTCACGGAGTTTGAGCTTCCTGCGATGCACAGTTTATTTACCCGTGCCGAAAAACACGGTTCTCTTTTCTCGGGAACTCCCTGTATATGAGAGGTTTACTGAATAAATTTTAGCTGAGTTGGAGCCTTCGTCCTCCCGTCACCTCTTTCTTTCTCTTCCACTGTCGATGGCTCTAGTTTCTCGCCCCAGTCTCGGGTAATTCAACAAGATTGTAAATGTACCCCAGCTCGGATGAGCTCTCGCTCTAATTACAGAATAAGAAGTCGCCCGTAACACGAAAGCCTGCAGCGCCACGTCTAATGATGATGCAATAATTTTGAACAGGCGAAACTGATGATGCGTCAAGTGGAGCTTGTGGATGATGGTGAAGGGTTGCGTTACCTTTTTTAACCAGAATCTTCCTTGATCTTTCCTTTTTAACCATAAAAAGTCATATCATAGTTTTCATTTGCTTGCTATTAAAGTCGATATCTTGGGCATCTAAAAACAGAGCCTAATTATCTTGGAGAAGTTACTAAACGAAATCTGGGAACATTGAAGGTTAGTACCGCTTTGTGTTGAATTTTACCGTTCCAGTGTTTCTAAACAGTGGGGTTGAACGTGTGAGCGATGCCATGCTAATTCCTCACGGGAGCTTGTTTCGGCATGTGCTGACCATGTACTGCACACGAGGACCGCGTCAGCATTCGACGTGAACGTCGGATCCAATCAGACGCTTCGTGCCCCAAGAAATGCCGACATATGAGGTTGCTTGACTAACTTTTGAAAAGGCTAGCTTTCAGGTATCAGGCGGTACTTCCTTCACTCGGCTCGTTTTGCAGCCGATGTCGGCTCATCACTATTGACAGTAGAGTTTATGAAATAATACATTCATAAATAATAACTATAATGGCCGCTTATGTGACGTAAATGAGAGTCATGTATTTGAACGGCCAGAATACGAGCAGCTTTCGACGGTGACACATAAAAGCCTGCCTACCGAAACCGTCTTCGTTAAATGAACTAGTGAGTACGTTGCCAAAATGATTGAAACAAAAAGAAAAATAAAGATAGATGAAAGATGTGTTTGCTGTCATTTTTTATATGCTTCCTGTAGCGATCTCCGTTGACCGTAGGCCCCAAGTAACCGGCTCACTTACCAGCAGGATCGGCCCACCCTGAGATGCGGCTCAATGCTGGCGCTGTAGTCGAGGCTGAGAGTGAGCTTTTTCATGCACTTGTGCAACGCGTCGCCCACCTTGTTCATGCAACTCGCGTATTTCAGGAACTCTGCAGGAGTCAGAGGGGAGGGGAAACATTTCATCAATCAAGTAATCAATCACTCGCTATTTACAAGAAACCGTATAGACCATTTTCCTTGCAAACGCCATTAGGCGGGGCTGCAGTCTTTGACGTCCCAGCAAACTTCCGGTTCATAAAAAGAACGAACAAAGTTCACCTTAAAGGGTTAGTGAACCGAAATTTCGAGCTCACAAAACAAGGCTGGACGGATAGGCGTCCCACCTATCCGTCCGTCCATCTCTGCAAAACCCAAAAAACATCACTCATACTGCGATCTCTCTAACGGGTCGCCGTATTTTAGGAAAAGGAGTCTGCGATTGAACGCGGCCGACGAAGCCGACGAGAGAAGGCACGTCACGACTTTTATTCCCTCTCCTCCTCGCTATGTCCAGTCGAGCTGGTGAACCGAAGCGAGGAGGAGAGAAGCGAGGCCGCTTCCTCTCGTTCTCAAATTTTCCAGGAGGACAATGACGTCAAAGACCTCGCTTGATGGCGCCGCTCTTTTCCAGAAGTACGGCCATCCGTTTGAAATATCGCACTCCTCACCACCGAGAACTCAAAACCTAGGGAGCGCTGTCTACACAATCGCCACCCTGGTACGCAACCTCCTTGTTTCCATCGAGTCTCCATTGTGCCAAGCAGTCATAGCCATCATCGATATAGCGTTGCCTCTTGTCACCTCTTGGTGCAAGTAGGTAATCCTTTTACAAAACATTAATTCAATTTAACAACAGAAGAAGTACGCGCCAAAGCCACTATCTTCCAATGGAACGCTGCGGGCCTCCGCAGCCGCCTTTCAGATTTCCGCCAGTTTGCCTATAAGTATAGATTTCCAGTTATGGCCATTTCCGAGTCTCGAGTTCCAAACACATTGCGTCTTTCAGGGTACGAAATATTTCATTCCCCTCGAGGAATAGACCCAAGCAGAGTTATGCTAGCCATACGTAAAGATTTGACGTACATTAATCACAGTGTTCCGCCTAATCGAACCAATGAATATGTTGCTGCAACAGTCCGTTGCAACAAAACCACAATCACAGTCATTGCTTCCTACATAGAACCAAGGGCGCCTCTCGACAAAAACTTGCTTGCCACACTCATCAGCAGTACTCCTTCACCCCACATACTGACTGGAGACTTCAATGCACACCACCCTTTGTGGGGTAGCAAGAAAGCTAACTGTCGCGGAACAGATATTGTAGACATTGCTCAGCAACACAATCTAGTAGTTCTTAATGATGGAAGCCCTACCTTTTTTAGAGGAAATTCTGTAAGCAGTTGCTTAGACATAACATTGTCCTCATCATCATTAGCCCGAACTCCTGTCTGGTTTGCTGACATCGAGACACATGGGAGCGACCACATTCCCACATACACACTAATATACGGGTTTCACTCGGCGCTTCCACGAAATACAGTCAAAAGAACTAACTGGAAAACATTAAGCAACATAATGGAGACTGCATCTCAGTCTGCGACTACGAACGAAGAGTTCATAGCTGCCTTGAATCACGCTAATGATATGTCCACGAAAGAGTACACACTACCATATCAAAAAGTATCCATCGACGGAGATTATGAGAGGCTACGCGCTCTTCGTCGCCAGTCTGAACGACGCGCCAGAAAAACAAAAAGCGTTGATGATACGCGACAGGCACGACGCCTTCAAAAAAAGATCCAGCGCTATTTTGGAAAACTTTCGTGGAAACGATGGAAATCGCTTTGTGAAAGCCTTGACCCTCGGAAGCGCCTTACAAAGATTTGGTCAATTGCTCGTGGTCGGAAAACAGCTCCTCAGCAACTCTATCCTTTCCGGGCGCTAGCACTTAGTCTCCGTCAGCCAGAGCTCGCAATAGCGGAAGAGTACTGTCAGAAACTGACATCTAACTCCACAGGCACTAGTTACAATGCCCAGGTTTTAGTCTACTCAAAGAACCGCACTCTTTTTGATGAATTATTTAGCTTAAGTGAGTTAAATGAAGCACTCAATTTATCCAATCGACCATCATCGCCCGGTCCAGATAATATACGGTATGCAGCTTTGGCTCATCTTGGTGAACAAGGAAAGTCTAGACTACTCAACTTGTATAACCAATCATGGGAATCTGGAGTAGTACCTGAGAGCTGGAAGATTTCGAGAATTATACCTGTTTTGAAGCCGGGAAAGTCTCCACTTGACATAACATCTTTCCGCCCGATAGCGCTATCTTCGTGCATATGTAAAGTAATGGAAAGGATGATACTAGGACGCTTGGAATGGTTCTTAGAGGAACGGAACATTTATCCTGAAAGCATGTCTGGCTTCCGACGTGGAAGGAATTCCGTTGATGGTGTAATAGATCTTGTTTCATCCGTCGAGCAAGCCAAAAAAGAAAAACGAATTACATCAGCTGTCTTCTTTGACGTCAAAGGTGCATTTGACAATGTTATGCACGAGGCAATACACGCTGCTGTACGTGATATTGGTATAAAAGGACGACTTCTCGCGTGGATATTAAGTTACTTGAATGGCCGCCTTATCTATATGTCAACTACAGAAGGAAATACTACAATGCACAGTGTCACTCGCGGAGTCCCTCAGGGTGGTGTCTTAAGTCCCGTCCTATTCAACATATGTCTTATCAAACTAGCACAAAAGATTCCAAAGTCTACAAAAACATCGTTCTACGCAGATGATATATGTATTTGGACATCCTCCATCTCACAACACTTTAATCGTATCCGTCTGCAGAAAGCAATTATCATCATATCTTCTTACCTAAAAGAACGAGGACTTACAGTTTCACCAGAAAAAACAGCGGCAATGGCCTTTACGAGGCGCGACACGGACAAGTACCGGCTATATATTGATGGCCTTGCTATCCCTTACGTCCGAAAACATACCTTCTTAGGAATAGTAATTGATCGATCCCTAAGTTGGTCTCCTCATGTGAAACGTCTGAAAGCAAAATTAGTCACCATAGTACACATACTCAAATTTATTAGTGGCACCAGGTGGGGTTCCTCCGTCCCCTCCCTTAAAAGACTTTACAACGCTTTATTCGTGGGACTCTTGCGTTATAGTCTGCCAGTGTTGTACAACATCTCACGTTCTAGCATGAAGCAGCTTGAATCTGTGCAAGCTCAGGCCCTTCGCGCATGCCTCGGACTTCCTTCCTGCACATCTAACACAGGAAGCGTTGCAGAAGCCAGAGCGTTCTCCATCGCTATTCTTAGGACACAGGAAATATTATGTACACACCTGCGACAAAGCACGCGCCATAAGGCACATCATCTCGCCACTCTTGGTAGCACTAGAAAGGCTTCAAGCTTCGCGCAGGTTTTGAACATTCTCAGTAGTGAGCTTCCTGATGGATTCGAACCTTTAGAGACATTTTCATTCCCTCCGTGGTTACGCTCGGACCTTGAAATTTATATTGATGTTCCAGGAATTACCTCAAGAAAAGAATGCGCACTAACAACTCTTAAGCAGCATGCTCTTACCATAATCCAGGAACGCCATTCTAAACGACGACATATCTTTACTGACGGATCCACTGCGTCAGACAGCACAGGCATAGGAATATCTGTTCCGTCGATGAACTTCACACTTGAGGCACAGCTTAGTCATGCAACGTCCTCCACAGCTGCAGAGCTAGTTGCGATTCGCGAAGCCTTGAGGCTAATAATTGAACAAGTTCCAGCCAGCTGGACGATATTCACTGATTCTAGAGCGGCGCTGCAAAGCATGATAAACCCAAACGTAAAAAGCGCGAACATCCAAATAGTACGGAAAATACAGCACCTTCACAATGAGACAATCATGACTGGACACACAGTTCTCTTCCAATGGATACCAAGCCATTGTGGAGTCGCCGGAAATGAATCAGCAGACATTGCTGCCAAAAACGGAAGAAAATCAGATTCCATCATACGTATTCCATACTCAAAGGCAGACGCTAGGCGATTGGCAAATCGTATCGGAAGCGCCATCCGTTCTTCCCTCTGGTCTTGCCCAAACTATCACTACAAGCGGCTCCATGAAATTGACCCTCAACTTCAGTTTCGTGTACCGCGAGGACTTGGACGGCGTGAGCAGTCCACACTTCACCGAATACGCCTGCGTGTTGCTTTCACCAAGAAGTATCTTCACATGATCGGCAGAGCATCATCCCCACTCTGCCAACCGTGCTCATCACTTGAGGACGAACATCATCTCCTGTGCGAATGCAGATTGTACGAGAAGGAACGTGCTACCATGGCTCAGGCATTGCATCTATCCGGACAACCATTATCCCTGCAGCGACTCCTTGGCCCTTGGCAAACTTATGGAGAAGCTGAGGTTGCAACAAATGCGCTGACCAAGTATCTAAAAGAAACCCGGCTGGACAGGACACTTTAGAGACAAAGAGGAAAGAACCGACCACGCCAATCATTTTTTTTTTTTTTTTTTTTTACACCTTCTGTTCCTTTTGTACTTGCGATTGACGCATACGCTCCTCCACTTTTGCGTTTAAGGTCAATATTTTTTTTTTTTTAATTTTTTTTTTTTTTTTTATGTTTAGTTAATTTATGTGTGCGTGAATGTTATCACGAGTACTCTTTCTTTCTGTTCTTCTTTTCTTCCTCTCGATTCTTTATTTCCCCTTCCCTTTCCCCAGTACGAAGTAGCAAACCGGCATCATACAGCTAGGTTAACATCTTCGTCTTTCAATAAACCATTTCTCTCTCTCTCGATGTATGAGTGATGTTTTGGGGTTCGTAGCGTTCCGTTCAATGTTTCTGTGTCCTTATTTTACGAAATCCTAATTTCGGTTCAGTATCTCATTAACACCACTGCTTGAAACATCGATGAAACATTTAAAGTGGAAATTTGGGCCAGTTGGTTCATTGCAAACAAGAAGCGCCGAAAAAATACAGGGACACAGACGAAGAAAAACAGGAGAAGGCGCCTTGTCCTGTTTCCCTTTGTCTGTGTCCCTGTATTTTTTCGGCGCTTTTTGTTTGAAACATTTAACCACCAATTCTCCAGGTGAACGCCAAAATAACCCAAAAGTCAATGAACCACGTTATTTTGTGCTGTTCCCACCATACAAGATCTGATCAAATTTTTCGAATATTCTTATAAACCAACTTGTCCCCTCCAGGACGGTACATCGTACAACTTAAGGCCCTCGCTAAATCTCCAACTTTGTTATCCGTGTTGCATTTCTGCTTTCCAGCACTGGTGACAAAGCAAGTTCGACATGCTTGCAAAGACGGAGCGACCGGAAGTCGCTGGGGACGCAGGAGGCAGTTCATGTTTGTAAACAGTAAAATGGTCTATACAAATTATGGCTGGTTCACACATTTGCGACGGTTGCGTCCACAACAACGAAAACGACAGAAACGACCAAAACATCGGAACAACCGTGACTCGTGATTGTTTCACGAAGCTACATCTTGCATTGCTTGCCACGTTGTGTATGTATACGGAGAACAGTTGTACCGGTGACTTTGTCGTTGCCGTCAGTTCGGTTGCTGTGAACGCAACTGACACAAATGTATGAACCAGCCTACTGCTAAAGCAGATAGACTCATTGCCAGTTGGCAATTTTGATTTCATTAGAAAATATGTCGAGGCAATTGTGTTCTTCGAATGCTCTTCAGGACCCATCACTGGTGCCTGCTATGTAGAGTTCTAGCTCGTGTTGAACACCTCATAAAATAATGCTTTATTTTATAGTGTACAATTAACAAAAAGAAGAATTTAAAAAAAAAAAGAAAAGAAAACGTCAAATTCAGACAGCTTATAATTTGAATAATAACGTGTGGCGCCTTCAGAGCGTGAGATCATTTGAACAGAGCTCCGAACGCCGCGATTGACTGGCGTCACGCTTGACCTTGGTGTTGGCCAATCGCATTCGGCAAGCGGCGAAAGTCGCGCCGAGGGTCCTTCTTAGGGCCCCATGGTTGATCATCTGGTGACGAGGTTGGGCCGCGGGAGGGAGGGCTCACCATTGTGGAGCGGGTTGGTGACGTTGCACTTCGAGGACACCTCCTGGCTGATGCCCTCCAGGATGACGACCACCATGCCCCGGGGCAGGGGCGGCAGGCACCGGTTGGCGAACTGCCGCGCGCAGACCCCCGCTGCAAACTCCACCCTGGTCACGAGGGCCAAAGAGGGGCATCACAACCGACATGTTTACAAACAAGTCAGCGTTTGCACACACGCACTGCGCGTGCGTAGAAACCAGATTCGCACGAACGGGAGCGTCTGCGCACGCGCCGCGGAACAACAACAGCGCCACCTCAGCGGCGTGACGTCAGGGCCGTGTGTTGGTGTATGCGGAGAGCAAGTCGTCTGCTTCTTGTGCAGGATTTGTGGTGACGTCAGAACGACGCCGACCTCTGATTGGATCTGATTGAAGGATAGAAGGTACTCCTCAAAGCAAGATGCCTTAAGGTCTACCCACTGTCCCTCATTCAGAACCAATCAGAGCTCAGCGTTCTGTCGCCACCATAGCCCCCCAAAGGAAGCAGACGAACTTGCGGTCCGCACAGACGTTTGCAAGTACGGCCTCTGGGCGCCGCCATCTTGCCGCTAGTGTGGGTAGATGGTCTGATAGTCAAGCATTGCTGAGGCCGTGGGCATGCATCATCAATGCTTGACTATCAGACGATCTACCCATACTAGCAGCAAGGTGGCAGCACCAAGAGGCCGCTTGCAAACGTCTTGTGGACGCATGCAAGTCGTTTGATTGATATTCTGCAGAAAAGAGCTACTGCGCATGCTCAAAATGCGTTTCACAGCCCAGTAGCCAACGCAGAGCGCAGAACGCGATTATTAGAATTGTCTATACGCAGGCGTTTTCGCTTTACAGGACCTGTGCACGTCCACGGACATTCGTGAAAAGCTCACGAACTCAAACAAAATATAATTTCTGTCGACGGAATCGGTTTAGCTTTGCAGAGGAGCGCACAAAAACGAGGACATTAAGGACAACAAGTGTGTACCAACGCAAGAGAGCTCTTACCGGCGGCAATGGTTATTTAGGAGCAGTTTCAGGCGTCGATCAACACAAAACGGAGTTTTAGCGAGTCGTTTTTCGAGCCAAAGGTTCCGAAATCACGAACGGTGCAGCTGGTCCGTTCCGGGAAACCGTACGTGAAAGTTGACATATTTTAGCGAATCGTAGAAATGGCGCAACCATGTAGACGATGATGATGATTGTGTTTGACCAGTGGCGCCATCTTCTAGTAAATATGTGAAACATTCTGCAGCGTTTAATACGCGGCGGCTCGTGTTTCCGGCGTACGACTGATGTAAACAAGACGACCGAGGTAACATTTGCCGGTTGGAATTTTAAGAACTGCGAAACTAGATAGAGTAAAACGTACCTGAACGACCGTAAAGGTATGTGGTGTGTCTCCGACATCTTGAACTTGAACGATCGTTTATGTTGTGCGCCGTTGAACCAAATCCTTTCGTCTGCTCGCGGTCGCGACGGCAGCTATAGTCTGCCCGCAGATCGCAAAAATATACTATATGCGCAGTTTACAGCATTCACGATATCTTACCATTGTGCGCAGTCCTTGAAGTGATATGGTTCAACCTCTCAAATGAAGCAGAGTAACAAAATGGCAAATCGCCTACCGCTGTCCTAAGCCTAACGCTCGGCTGGGTCCGTGGAGTCAGTCGCAAACCGACCGCCATTTTTTTTTTTACCCGAGTCGTGAACGCTGCTGGCTGCGTTCCGGCGACGACTTCAGCGGCCGGAATGGGAGAAACGAACGAGAAGAGCTTCCCGACGTCACGAACGACTCGCGCGCTCATGCGCAGTGGCATCGATTTTAGCCAGAGACACGTACAAGAAAGATGACATATCGGCGCGTGTTCAGCCGCTCCAGACCAGGAACTTACTCGCATTGCGCCAACAGGTCCTTGGTGTTCTCAGGAACCTTGGGACCAGTGCCGAAGATGACCAGGTCTGCGCCACACTTGTCCAACAGCTCCACATTGCAGCCCAGCTTGAGCGAGATCGCTGCCACCAGCCGCAAACCTGTGGGGAGGGCAAAACATTCGATATCACTTACTTTTCTTTAAAAAAAAAGAAAATATATTTAGCACCCCTATCTTTGAAACTAATTCTATATAAAACTCTCGTACAATCATAGCCTGAATATGCGCCTTCTGTTTGGGACCCTGGTCAGTGTATACTAACTGGTGTGATTAAAGTTGTCCAAAATTGATCCGTTAGATTTATGTTTTCTAATTACCATGGAACATCCAGCGTATGCACAACGAAATTTAATCTTTCTCTTCCTCAATTATTAACCCGTAGAAAAATAGCCCGTCTAAGTTTGTTTCATGAAATGTATTTCATTAACGGCAAGCGGCGTAATAAGCTTATCATACCTTCCATTTATGTCTCACCTGCACTCGACCATCAACACAAAGTTGGCATCCCATAAGCTCGCACCAACGTCTTCCGATTCCCCCTCATGACGCTTTTTTGTTTAATGTGTAATGGTCAAATTTATGTAAAGAAAAGATTAAAAAAAACTTTTCATCGTTTTTTTTTGTGTTTTTTTTTTTTTGTTTCTAATCTAAACTGATCGTACTTTCATGTGTGGGTGTCTGTGTTTTCAATAATTCATGCCCAAACCCTTGCCCCTCTGTAATACTCACGCCCTGAGGGTAAAATAAATAAATAAATATACCGCCGATCACGCAGAAGTACAGGGCGGGCGGCGGCGGCCTTTGAGTTTGAACTATATACTGTTGTATGCATGGCTTCCATGGACGTCAACTCCTTCTTCTGCAGAGATTGTACGTCACCGAATTAGTTTTTTGTCGGCAAGAACAAGCAGGGATGACCACCAGCATGATGTGATGACGTCACGTGAAAGCTATGTATGGTCACTGACAGGATTAGAACGGCAGGCAGGTTCTTCGAAGGCGTCTCGCGAACCTCCAACATGCACGGGCGGCCAAGGCACGGCGGAAGGCATCGGGCGCGTGATGGAGGTCAGGCATCGGAAGGGACGCCCTGCCGTTCTGATTCGCCACAGGTTGTGCGCGACAATCCTCAAGCACTCGAGATACTGCAGCTACTCATTGTATCCGTTGCAACGAGAGAATAGAATAGGGCATTTATTCATGCCCTAGCTCGGTAGAAAGACAGGCTTCGACAAATCATACGGACATTTAGCACGCTTCGTCTAACGTCTTCCGGGTCTAGAGAAACACTCCGCATGCGTGCCACCGGTAAGTGAACCATTACGGACGAACCTGAAAGCCATCCCCCTGTAAAGATCGACGACCCGCAACCGGTAAGTCTGCGTTCGACGTATCACACTGCGGTGTCCAACACCGTCCCCTGTAGCTGCAGCCTCCCGGGTGAGGCGCTAAATTATTCAAACCGCAGCAAGACCGAAGACCCACACTTGCCCTGACCCGTCTTGAGACGGCCGTTAGAGCCGCAACGTGCATTTCCTTTCCTTCCGATGTGCGCGTAACCACCACTGACGCTCACACGTCGATGCATCGAGACCGCGACTAACCATGCCCCGCACGTAACATCGACGGAAGATTATGCGACCCGAGCACCCGGAAAGCTCCGCATAGCGATGCACGCGTTTCCTTTGTTGGTTTCCCGTTCGGCGCATTCGTTCTAGTGCGTTTCGCTGGAGCGCAAAAAGTTAAAAAAGAAAAAGGGGGCGGGGGGGACCGCCTGACCTCATTGTTTGTCTGGAACAACTCCGTTTCCCGGGAACACATATCGACATCTGCAGACCGCGTGTCTTCACAGCTAATGCATAAAAAATCGTGAGCCGTTCCACTCGGTGAAGTGAATGATCAGTGAAGCTGTTTAGCACACGAAACGTGACACTGAATTTCGAACAAAGGTACGAACACATTTATTGTCTAAATCGGTGGTCATCGATCAAGCGGTCACCGACAACTCTTGCAGCGCACGAGTCCGCTTTGCAGGATCCCGCACATTGCCGTTGTTGGTTAAGTCGTTGTCGAACCACAGCCGATCACACACCCTACAGACACTCAAACTGTCTGTCCAGAAAGTCTCTTTTGAATGTAGCGTATGCTTCATAAAAGTTGTCCAATTTAGCATCTTGGTACCTGCGTCTTTGTGATGCGTTCTCCGCCCCGCAACGTTCGTCGTCTTGTCTGGTTTGCCCCATGCGCTTGGCGTTTTGTGCACGATCTTCATCGGTGGTGTTTGCCACCAGCCGCTGCTGACATCCTCGTTGCCGTTCCCGCCGTTGCTCTTCGTAAGCGCGTTGCCCTTCACGATGTCCGGACTCTACGCGGCCTCCCCATTACGACAAGAGAAGTGAAATTGAGAATGGAGAACGGCAACTTGTCTTTCTGGTTTTTTATATATACATTCGCGCGGACGACCATCACCGCCCCGAGAAGCCGGAGGAACCTAGACACGCGCGACGGTACCGCCCCCCGGCGGAAAGTAGACACGCGCGACGGGACCGCCACCCCGGGAGAGCGGAAGGAAACTATAGGCACGCAAGCGCTGAACGACGACTAAGGGAGGGCGCTGCGAGTTTTCGTTGGCGCACATGACAAAATCCACGGAACCCCAGCAATAAACAGGTTCGCTATAATGCAAGACAGTCTGCACATTCTGTCTGAAGCGTGTTTCATCATTGAATGATGGCCCTGTCAAGTTGGTCATACACAAACTGTCTGCAGGCATATTTCAAGTACGCATCATATATATGAAGAAAACATGCTCAGAATATGCTTCAGGCCGTCTTTTGTAGGATTTATGCGCAGCGTGATTCCATCTCTGGAGTCGCTTTTTGTTCTTGCCAAACAAAAAAGGTCAATATATTTTTCTTATGTAGGACATTTAATCGCGTTATTTGGAGCGATACGGGTGCCAAGAAATACTCCACTCTTGGATCGGCGGTCCAGCGTTTACTTCACGTGGTATACGCACAGAGTTGGGATCGCGAGCCGTTTCGCTGCTTCACAGCTACCTTGCGAGAGATGTCGCATCCATGCGCATGCTCAGAGCCGACAGCAGCACCACCGACGTGGCGTGACAGAGTCGAGTTGGTCTAGAGTCGGTGAAGTAAGAACCCAGTATAAGTTTCGAGGATGCGCTCTTTACCTTCCGCCGTGCTTTGACCGCGCGTGCGACGAAGTATTATCAAAGGCAGACAGCTCGCGCTCGAGGCGCAGAATCCACTGGGGTCTTATGCAGCCACCGACTATCGAGGCGTACTGCCGAGTTACTTAAAAAACAAACATCCGCACTGAATACAAAACAACACGCATTTGACAAAAAAAGAAAGAAAAAAAAAAAACGAACGCATAGGAACAGAGTTCTGGGTCAGAATTGAATATTTACCTGGCCCTATATACCCACAGATACCAGAAAATTAAAGAACGGCTCATGTGCACAAGGCACGCAAACATTTCGTGCATGGACGACGTAATGCGAGAAAAACAACAACAACAAGAAAAAAAATGACTTTTCGCCATCCGATTTGGATGAAAGATTCCGTGTTTTTTCTGTGTGTGTTTTCGTTCGCTTATTTTGTTCGTCATTTTTTTTTTTTTTTGGGGGGGGGGTATATGTGCATGATATGTAATTTAGTTTAAGCACTGCGTCCCGGCGTTACTCGTGTGCGCAGTCGCTGACAGCCTAAAGTCACGCTGGTCATTTCACATGGCATACAAAAGTGTTCGCTGCGACATCGTCATGTCAGAAGGATTTGCGGACCCGTTTCAGGCCTCTTCGAAACATGTTTTCTTCATATATTGTATACTTCAAACATCAGCCAGTTTTTGTATTACCAAAGTGTTCCGTCATACGAGGAAGGAGGAAACGCTCATAAGCTGAGACTGCATGCAGTCAAAGCTACAAGCACGAGCTAGCCCGCGCGCCTTGTTTTGAGCCATGCATTTATAGACGCTTTACCCACGCGCCAAATTACAGCCGCCATTGCCGACCTTCTCTTGTCTTACCGAGATGCCGAGCAACTGAAACGGTAGTTGACGATCCTCTGCAAAGGCCGATGCTTTAGAAAAGGACACAGTTGAGGCTAATATGGCAATAACCTGGCCTGCTATGGTAATGATGAAATAAACAAATTGAGAGAAAACAAAAACTGAATGTCAGTTATGGCGGCGTCCATGCACAGCTGCTGCAAAGCGTCTATAGCGCGAAGCGCTCGATCGTTTTGCAGAACAACGCTTCAAAGCAGCGACCACGAGCTGTCCTGGTTGCGGCATCGGCAACAGTCTCAGCTCAACGGCGCTTCTGCAATGCAACGTGCATTTTGCACCATCGAGATCGCCGTTCTTTGCAGACGTGAGGTAGGAGCTTGACCTGAGGATGTGGGGACCTCCGGTTACTTTTACTTCCTGGTTTCCTCGAGCCACTACTTCTGCGGCATGAAAACTAACAACAAGGCTCGCAACTACAGTACCCTTGGCAGTGCAGGAACTATTGACGTCACGAGTGCGATACGCGTTACGCTTCTCGATGGCCGACTTTGAAGCGAGGTGTAGAGAGCTCGCGCATTATAGTTATGATGTCACGTGCAAGCCACGTAGTAATTTTTCTGGTTTCGCCGTAAAACTACCCAACAAGGGGCCGACATTAATTCAAAAAGAAATTTTAAAGCCAATTAGGACAGACACGGGGAAAGCCTCGGGTATAGACATCCTCAACATTTTGCAACATTGGCCTCTTGCGCCCTCTCTCGGAAATTCTCGGTCAAACTCTGTAAAACACGCGTACCAGTACAAAAACGGCATACGTAGAAATATTCCCTGGAGTATATTATAAACGGCAATAATGCAATTTTAACTAAGACTAATTAAACTCAGGAACGCACGCTTTTTATTCCCGGGCCCCATAGATTTCATCCTATGAACACCATTTGAAAAACTTGGAACGCCTGACCACCACAATAGATAAACGCGTAATTCCGAGCACTGCAAGAGCGTGATGAGACCACGCCACATACCGAAATTTAAATTTCACTAATGACATAAATATTTTTTTATTCCTCGGGAACTTTTCATATTGGTTACACTATTAGCCCCTGTAAAGGTATCATTCCAGCGTACACCGACGCGCTGAGTCGAAACAAGCTTTACAAGCGCTCGGACTCCCGTACTATCCATTTAACGTGTAGACACAAACTGGGGTCTCGCCATGAAGAGAAAACGAAACGTCTCGCAACGCTGGACGCGATTACGATTAAATTTCACAAGCGTTCGTCTAAGCACACACCGCCATTTTGTTTCGTCCGGGGGTTAACACTAAACCTCTTGGTGGTCTTGGTGGAAAAATGAACATGATCCCTCACGGGAGTGACCATGTTTCAACATACATCCAATCGTGAACCTAGAATGGCAAACAAAGCGCTTCACGGTACTTCGCCAGCGCTAAATCAATACTTGGAATAGAGCTGATGCAAAGCTGTACCGTGAGAGTTGTATCACTAATACAGCGAGAAGTCAACGCGAAATCAACAAGGTCAGTTTTGTTTTGTTGTTTTTTCGTCTAGCTCTGACTAATAGCGTTGAGGCAGCGCTGTGGTTTATGTGTGAATATAGCGTGGAGAGGGTAAAGTGTGTCAGAAGAAACACGCTAAGCAATGCGTGGAGTGTGCAACGTCAGCGGTATATAACATACCAGTGAGTTGCGGGAAAGTGTGAATATACATTGACACACGTCTCAACGTGTGTGTCAGCAAGAGTGAACTGAAATAGTATATCGTCGTTTATATCATTTATTGTACATACGCTTTAATCGGGCAGTATAATTCCGTAAGTTCTTATGATTTATGAGTGTATGGGCATAGTTCAGTGCTTTATTAATTGAGCACACATATCATAATTCTAGCTCACATATCAGCATCCTATCAATTTCTTCAATTTTAAGTAGCTTTACTTCATCAAATAAACATTGAATTAAATTTATCTTTTATATATTTTCTCCCTCTGTTCCTCCGACCCCTTTTTCACGGAGTAACAAACTAACTCTAAAGGGGGCTGCACCAGCGTAAAGCATGAAATCGTTTGGAGAAGACTCGGGTACAATCCAGCGTTTCGCGCCCGATGCTTGGATGGACGGATGTTAATGGCTATACCCTTTGTAACGGGCGGTAGCATGCGCCCCCTGGCCCAAGATATGGCGACCACCAATGTTGCTTGATGGTGTTTTGAAAAGGGTCTATTATACCAAAGATACCTATAAAATATAGATGATCAGAAGCGGACCTATATATATGAACTGCTACGACAACGCCTCATTCACTTGGGGGCATGGTCGGGTGCGCTTTACTGCAATAAATTACCTTATCCACTATACTAGCTCGTCCCTTTACCCCATTGAGGGAAGTTCTCGGCTACCTGCGTGCATGGGACGAAGAGAAAGACAAGACGCAGTAAAATATGGATGGGTACGAGTGGTCCCGTCACGCGTTAGATTGAGTCGCCGTCTGCCCAAAGGCCGACGTGGTACAACCGCGGTTTTCTGCAGAGAAA